TGCACACACATAAACCCGTGCGTGCGCCTCCCGCACTGAAGTCAGCGCTGGTGTTTTCAGGTTGCTCAGACCTGAAATCTAAGGGAAAAAAGCTCGGCGTTTGCGTCGCTGCTTCTGCCGCTGGTGGTGGTAGCGGTGAAGAGGAGAGAGGGTTTGGGTTGTTTTTTTTTCCCTCCTTTGAATTCAATGGATCTGAACTTGGAGTCTTTGGACCTCGGTGGTTTTGGAATATCTACATGCTGATCCTCTTTGTCGTGGCACATCAGCTCGTTTGGGGAAACCATCCGAAGACGGCAAGATGTTTCTCGCTATCTTGTACTTCGCTTTGCCCTTAGTGGGTAAGTTGCTGGCGTCTGATTTCTCTCTGTACATCGCTTCATAAAGCAAAGCATAGGGTTTATGGGCTTGGATGCCTGACGGTTGTCAGTCTATTGTTTAGGCAGACCAGTGAAGTTTCCAGTAGTTTTTATAGCTCTGACTCGCATCAGTTATCCTGGTCTAGGTTTAAAGCTCTGGGAGATTACAGACTTAGGTACTTGCCTGTGTAGCCTCTTGTTAAATTGGGTTCTCACAAGTTACAGGGAAACTTTTCATTTTAATAAAATAAGGCTGCATGGGGAGGGTGTGTGTGTGTCGGAGGGGGTGACAAGAGCCAGCTGAAGGATTACATCTTCACCTGAGCCTGGCAGCCTGCCCGACTGCGAGTGGTTTGCAGCCCAAACTGGATTCCTTTCCACAGGAGATGTTTGCGTTTCCATCTGCGTGTGTCTGAGGGACCGTGACAGGGGCATGACGGAGAGGAGAGAGTTAATACAGTTTGCTTTGTTCTCCTGCAAAAGCATCATACGTGGAGAGAAATGGAGGGAGGGAGTCATAAATTCTACCTTTATACATGTAGAATAAGCAAAAATGTGTACAGCATTTAAAAAGTGACTGACGCAAAAAGAGGCTAATATCAAGTGAGGATACTTATCTCTCTGAGCGGGTTGTTCGTGGATGTAATTGGAATTACAGCAAAGCTCTTGCAGAAAGTGAGGCCGAATATTTAACCCATTAATTAAACACTCGAATGGGAAGGTTATTTGTTTCAATAAAGTGGAACCAAGGCATAGCGAGTGCTTGTTTTGTCAGGCACACTAACCCCTGTGGGTTTTCTTTCCTTTTTGTGTTGTCATAAATCAACCAGCAGAGTTAAAATGCACTGTTTCCTTGGACTCCCACAAAAGTGGATCTACGACCATGAAAACCCCATGTGCATTTTCACGTGTGGTGTGTAGCCCGGCGGTTTGCAAGGTGCTGCTCATGGGGCTGGCTGCATGAGGAGGTCCCTTGTGCTTCCCAAATGCCTGCTTTGGAGCCCAAGTTAAATCAGCCTTGTCCCTCGATAAGAGTTTTGTTGGTTTGTGTCTCCTCTCTCTAGATGTACTTCTGTCCGCAGAAGTGAGCGGGCTGCCTGGAGGGGACCGTCTTGACTGTGTGAAAGCCAGCGATCAGTGTCTGAAGGAGCAGAGCTGTAGTACTAAATACAGGACGCTGAGGCAGTGTGTAGCCGGCAAAGAGAGCAACTTCAGCCGGGCGACAGGCCTAGAGGCAAAGGACGAATGCAAAAGCGCCATGGAAGCTCTCAAGCAGAAATCTCTGTACAACTGCCGCTGTAAGAGGGGCATGAAGAAGGAGAAAAACTGCCTGCGCATTTACTGGAGCATGTACCAGAGCTTACAGGGTACGTTGCAAAACACAGAAACGTTACACTCCCCCAGAGCAGTGTGTGATTTTTGCAGCCTCTCACATCTGCAGATAGCTACCGCCACTGAGGCTAAACCAGGGTCTGACCCTGTAATTCACACTGTGCTCTTCAGCTGCAAACTGAGGACCTTTCATCCGACTCAAGAACAGCTGCTGCTCCCTCTCCTGTTGTTGGGAAATCCACAATGAGGGTTTCCTCCGGGGGACTCAGCTGACCTTTCTAAACCAGAGTCAAAAGATAAGGGCACTAGCAAGTGCAGAAGCTACAAAAACAATCATTTGGAGACATTTTCCTATTAATATTTAAACTCCTTTAATTAGGACTCCTAAAAGGATCCCAAGACACTGGAACTAGTTTCTTAGCTCTTTGCTGAAAGTTAAATGTAATATGAAGAGGAGCGTTGTTTTAAGGAAAAGTTTATTCTTTCCTTTCCTGTATTTACTAGCAATATTTCATGTGCATACTGAGGAAGAAAAAAGAAGGTTATGCTTCCCAGAGCATGTAGAAGTGCCAGTTAGAAAGGATGTGACAGTGATTGACTTGGGACTTCTGTTCTTGATGTCACTGGCAAATTTCCCATAGTCTACTGAGAACAGTCAGGTCCTTCAAAGAGATGTATCATTTTTAGCCCCTTTTACTCTGGCCCTGAGGTTGAAGATGTCATCTTTCACTGCAGTGTGGTCCCCATTTAACTGTTCTGTAGCTGCTTCTGCAAAAAGGAACTCATCCCTTTCTGTTCATTTATCCAAGCAGCAACTGGAATGTTTTAATGAGTCTCTACATGTTTTTGTTCTAGCTTTTGTAATAAATTACACCACTCTCATTTTCTGCATCATAAAAAGTTTCCCTTCAGACAGCATCTTGTTAGTATTGTTTTATTCCAAAGATGCTAGGTTTTTGGCTGTTAGCTGGGCTGCTCCTCTGAGGAAAAAAAAGCTCTGCTGTTAGGGCGAATGACGAGGAACATCCCTGCTACAGCTTCTCTCCTGCTGGCGTGGGATGGGACAGTCCCTGTGATGTCACGCACTGTCTCTGCAAATTATGACCTTACCCATAGAGGAAGGAGGGAAAAGAACTACTGACAGGGACAGACAACTTGCTGCTTTCAGGTGTTTTTACAGATAATGCTTGGCGAAGAAATAGCCAAACAAATTAGAGGGACATGCCTTCTGCAGTTACACAGTAGCTTAATTTCAAAGTAAAAGTAAACAACTGAATCTTATCCTGAATTCTTATATTTAAAAAAAATATTTATTTTTTTTGTCTTTAGGAAATGACTTGCTTGAAGATTCCCCTTATGAACCAGTTAACAGCAGACTATCAGACATATTCAGGCTGGCACCAATTGTATCGGGTAAGCAGACTTACAATTCTTTAACTGAAACATGATTACAGTCTGCTGCTTTGTAGCTGAACTATGGAACTTTCAAGCAATAATCTCTTAAACAAAAAGAAATGTTAATGGTTTTCTAGTGTTGGGAGGTTCATGATGTAGTTGCACAAAAATAAAAGATTAATTGGTTTTGAAAGAATAATTAAACCTGAAAGAGTGCTTGGCAGGATGGCAATTTGTATTCTTTTGAGTCATTCTTGACAATAAATGCTAAATTTTCCTGTAGGTGGCAATCTGATTCCCCGCGTTCCTAATTTACAAATCAGTTCCTTTTTGGGAAAGTGGTCAGTGCAAGTTACCTCCCATTGACATTAAAGAAGATCAGAAGATAAATCTTTCAAATGTTTGCATAAGGGAATGCTTTATAGTTTCATACGTTTTTCTTTAAAAAAGAAATTTCAGAATTAATGCTTGTCTTCTTTTCTGGAACTGCTGCCTGTTTAAAGAGCCTATTCACAACTTCCTTCTTTTTCTGTTTTTTTTTCTCTGGAATATATTTTCTTGCTGTGTGGCTGTCTTTCAGAACTTGTTTGTAGTAGCTTGAATATGTTGCTCAGTAATTAATATATGCTTGTATGTGTTTGTATTCTGTCAGCCTAAATTACACTCAGTTTGGATCATAATTATTGAAAAAATGAATTTTAGGTATTGACAGGGTTTGAAAGTTGGAATTGATTTCCTGTTTCAGAAAGTCTTACAAGTATGCAGTCTGCACTCAGAACTTGTGTGTTTAGTTACATAAAAATGGAATGTGCCCAGTATAATGTGTCAGTCTGATGGTGCTGAAGCTGTAGTTAACTGACATGCTATGGATAAGCATTAGTAGATTGCTCTTTAAGAGAAAGAAGAAAAGACCAGAGAGAGTGTATTGACCAATTTTGAGAAGTACTTACACTTTTTAGGACCCTAAGTCTCATTAAAAGCCAGAAGGACTTAGGTTGTTAAGTATTTAATGGTACAGATTTTCAAAAGCATATAGACACATAAAATGTACATAACTGCCCATTGGGATTTTCAGAAAGGACTAAGTGATTTAAATAGGCGTTAGATGCCCGGACAGTTTTAAGAATTCTAAGTGCTTAATGCATCTTTCGGTATCTTAATACCTTTGAAAATCAGCCCTTTAGTCACTTTTCAAAATCTGGCTTCAGTTCCAAATCACATACATCTTCTGAAAGCATTATCCTAGTTTGGTGAGCAAGACTGTTGGAGGAATAGTAGAGAACAAAGATTATTTTCTGAAGAATATTTATTTTATTTTTTATTGCTTGAAACCTCCAACTTAATACTAAACCAAGACAAAATCAATGCACAGGAGTTCCAGGCTCTTTTCTTAAAGTTTACGGTGAGCCTGCTGAGGGCCAAATTCAACCTACCTCACCAGTTTTATGATCTACTTAGGAATACCCTATGTACGCTCTGCCTTTCTGTTATTTTTCAAATTCCCCATTTACTTGCAAAGTAATTGTCTTAAAAATGTAGTAATTATTTGATACCTGTTCTGTCAACAATGAAAGAAGACATAGTTGCCAACAAGTGATGAGCATCCTACCACGGTCACTTAAGATGCTGGTGGACTGGTGAGGACTCACTTTGTGTTACTTGTGGACCCCAAATTGCTGTTCACTCTGTCAGAAGTTTCAGGTTTACAAGGATTGGAGGCCTGGATTCACAGAGAGAGACAAACAAAAGTTGTAATGCAGTGGAAAAACACCAGTATTTGGAAGTCTTGTAATCTGAAAGAAAAAAGATTAGGCAAAGCATTTTTCTTATTGTCATGGTTACTGCTGCATGTTACAGTCTTTAAAGCTGCCTAGTCTTACAGATTTTTTGCAGGGCTCTGCAAATACCCCAAGCAGCAGAACTTGGTAACTTCTTCACATCTTGATTAAAACAAAACAAAACCAAACCCTGAACAAGCTCTGTTGGCAGGGGTTTCATAACTGGTGTTCTGCTAATGTGGTCATTGTGTTTATAGCTGTTGCTGCAGTATTCACTCTCATTAAAGTTACTTGGGCATAATTGAAAGCAGTGATTAACCCTTTCATCTCACAAAGGCCATTCTGTGGTACTGTATGACTTGGTTTATATCAAATGTAATGCTTCTCCATCTCTTTTATTTATTTTTGAGACAGTATAGAGAATCACAACAGTTGTCTTATGATACCTTAAAGGGAAAAAACATTGGTTGACTGCTTTTTGTGTTACATAAGTCTTGTAGTGTACATAAGTTAAGAAATGGAGGACAGTTTTTAAAAGCAGTTAAAGTTGATCTAATTCTATATTAAAAGATGTCCAAAATTGCATCCTCTGTGGAAACAGGATGCCACTTTCTATTAACTGTATTGCTAAACCTATTACTAAGTTTCTAGTTTCTCTCCAGTTCCCATTGTGTTAATGGCACAAGTGATGCAGTCGTGATACTAAAAGTGAAGCTTTGTTTTATGTTTTCAAGTGGTCTGTGTTATGCTGGGACTACTGGTGTATTTAGTCTAGAACTAGAAGGACAAGGTAAGTGTTCTATATAAAATTTTAATGTCCAACAGCACAGAAGAAAAAAAATCTAAATCCACAAAACTATTTATTGTAGTACTAGCTGTTAAGACCAGGATCTTAACATCCTATATTTACATACTAACAAACATCAATTTAGTATTTGAACCACTACTGAATTTGCAAGGAAAGTGTAATTTATAAAAAAACAATTGATGGCTGTCACGGAATTGCACCAAAATGGCTACACGCACACAAATAATGAACTCAAACAAGCTTTAATCTGCAACTGAAATGAAGCAGACAAAACTTCATTCACCAAAACAACGTTCCACTGACATTCAACAAATACAGGTTCGATATGCTGGTTGGGAATATTACCAGACACGGCTGAGTTAAGAATTCTTAAGTTTTTGGCCAAACGATCCAAAATGTGCACTCGCTCACTCACCAAAAAGGGAGGGCTCTCAATCTCGAGAAGTTACCTTAAGTGGCGTCCCAACTCAAGAGGAGAGTCCCCGACTGCAGACCCGCTGCTCCGAGGAGGACCGACTCCAATGAGTCCTCTGGCGGGGCCCCATTTATACCCTGGTCGAATCTGATCTGTGGTCAATACATGGTCGTGTCAGCCCCTGTTGGCTGAGGACCCCAATTTTCCCGCCTTTGACCCCCACTGTGTGGACCAGACATGAGCTGTGAGGGGGGAGGCAGTCCTGGCGCCAGCAGGGCCAGAAACTTTAGCACTATCTTTGTTGGGTCTTTCTCAGGTCTTTCTCAGGTTTTTAGTAGGGTGGGTGCATCTGCCACAATGGCCAAAATAGGAATGTGAGTGCAGTGTTTGATTTACTTGTTACAGTGTATCCTGAGTATTGAAGGGTTCGTAATTCACTTCTGTGGAGTTAATCCTCTGACAAATCCAATGTCCAAATCCAAGACTGCAAGTGTGCCCAGCTGAAGGACAGGGCTGTCTTGTTTCTTGTCTTGGGCATGTCTAGGTCTGACTTGTCTTTGGAACTACTATGTTGTTCTTGGTGCTTCTGCCTCAAGAGTGTGAATTTCTTGCTGGTAGGCAGCTCTTCAAATTACTGAGACTTATTTGTGTGTTTTAAAGAGTAACAGATTTGGGTTAGTTATTATGATGTAAAGATTTTGCTTAAACAGACGTTTTTGCTTCAGTCTTAACTTCTGAGAGGTGAAAACATTTTAAGGCCATTGACTTCAGTCACAACTACAGTAAAGGCAAAATCTGTTGATTGTATTACAGAGGTGGGTTTCACACCAAATTAAGATTAGATGCTTGAATTAGTTTGTCACTTGTTAAGAGTTATCTACAGCTTTTTACTACCTGGGGAACAGTTTGCCTTTTGGATTTGTATTGTATTTGACATTGAGCCTTGCAACTGAAAGATATTTTATTACTTCTATATCAAGTGCCACGGTATAGTGAGTGGCCGTCTCTGTGGCATATTATAAGAAAATATAGCGTATAAAAACTTATGTAGCTTCACATACCTGTGGAAATACTTTAAAAAAAATGTTTCTGAAATGTCTCATTCATTTTAACACAAAAATGGAGAGCCACTAATGCTGAATAAAATGCCTTAAACCGTATCTGCGAAGTGGTGTAAATAGGATACTTAAAGTTAAAAAGAATCGACTGTTTAGATCAACGTATTTAGGATGACATAATGCTCTCCTCCTATGGATTCACTTTCAAGTTGCCTAGTTAATCACAGGCTTATTATTCCATTGTTCAGCTTTGTGTATCTTTTCTTCTTTCTTTCACATCTACTATGTTTAGAAATAATCATAAAGAACAGGCTTAAAGAAAATAAATCAGAATATTTCTTAAAACCTCTAGGTCCTGCTGGTAATCAGTGGAGAATTGTTTGGTTACATGCTGCTAGTTATATCTTGTAGAAATTTCTTCTAGAAATGCAAGACAGGTAGCAATTAATTATTTTGCCAGTATTTCTTCTTAGTGTAGTAAACTGCTTTTGCAAAGTGCCTTTTGTATCATGAGATGAGATGAGAGAAAGAAACTGGCTTGTATGATTATATGTCAAAGGGAGTGTTTCCTGTTCTCATGAGAGCCTGTTTACTCTTAAAAACTCTTGGAATCTTCTGTTGCAGAAGGTATCTGGAAGCTTCTGTTTAGAAAGGGATATATTTTGTATTTATTATGGTAAATTTGTTTATTAAAACTAAGAGTTCAGGAGAAAGCACATCACATAGGTCTTCTTACTAGAGTGTATAATTCCAACATTAGCACATGGGTAGCACAGCACATGAAGTTAGCATGTTTAATTTGCAAACTGAATAAGGTATATATACAAATATAAACAATTATGGTCAGTAAGATGGCTTTTTACTGTATTGCAAGAGTCAAGACTGTAGAAAGTTAGCAGTGCTGGAATTCTCAGAAGGGTGTGTGTGTTGGTGACATTTAAATGAGGGGGTTTCATGTA